ACGGTCCTGACCCCAGTGTCGCATCTCCTTTGACAAAAAAATGGGTCCCTTGGTCTGAGGCAATGTACCAGCCAGGGTTCAATTCAAGAAGCAGCGCCACTCTATGGGATGCAGGCATGAGCCCCCACACCAGTCAGAATCCATTTCAATCCAACAGACCCTTCTATTGAGCAAATGGTTTGGGGGCTTGGAGAGCCCAGGAGTACTTTTGAGGCTTAACATTACTAGGGTTGTCAGACAGAAGACACCCAATTGAGTGTGAATTTCAGATAAATGAGTATCATTTTAGTATAAGACTATGTCCCAATTATTGTATAGAACATACTTATGCTAAAAAATTGTTTATCTGAAATTACTGATGCAGTACAAAGATGACTTTTGTTTATGTGGTAGAAGTAATTTAGAAGATTTCAAAGAGGGAATAATATCATTTTATATTAAAAAATTCATGAACATCTCTTTCTATAAGTAAAATGCCAGTATATTGAAAGCATTCTACAGCAACAACAAAATGATAGTATATGTCCCATGCAATATTTGGGACATACTAAAAAAATGTTGTTTACCTGATATTCAAACTTAATTAAAATTTAACTAGGTGTTCTGTATTTTTATTTGCTACATCTAGCAACCTTAAATGATAGACACACTCTTCAGCACTGCCTTATTTATGTTTTCTCATGACAGCCATGTAAGAATTTCTTAGTAATAGCCAGTTGTGAGCCTGACCAGAGTGGCTTGCTGCCCCCTAGTGGTGAATCTGGTCAATGTCTGTGCCTTCAATGCCCCCACTAAATCACTATTAAACACTTAATTCCCAAGTGTCAGCTACAAAAGTAAAAAAAAGAGAAATCTCTTCCTAGTTTTTAGTATGTTAGACACACATACAGGTACAGGTGGGGCAAAAAGATGACTTCTATGTGTGTATGTGGTAGAGATCTTTTGGGAAGATTTGCATGATGTGTACCTTTATACTAAAAAAACTCCTAATTTTTCTACAAGTAAAATTCCAGAGTATTAAAAGCATTATACAATTTGGGAACAGATAACAGAGTCAAGTACACAAAATGCATTATGCTATTATATATTTAAGGACTAATTTTGGAAAAATGGATTTTCTACTGGAAAGATAAGAAAACAGGGATTTAAAAAATTCAATTCTCCCTCAGCTTCTTCCTCAATGATGGATCGATCCAGAAAACTTTGGGGAAAGGCGGCAGGAGTGGTGAATCACTGTAAGAAGGAGTTTTAACTTAAGCTACTGAGTACTGTAATTTTTCAATTCTCTCTCTCTTCACAAGCTTTGTTTTCCCCCTAAGCCAGATCTACCATCAAGTTTTTCTTTCTTCACCCTCATCGTTTCTTAATTCACAAAATATCTCCTGCTAGAACATGAGTTCCAAGTGGGGAAAGATCACAGAAACAGTGAGACACTTCTATATGAAAAGACACTATCAAATTCTCTCTTCTTGCCTTTGCTCCCCTTAGGGGGAAGAAAAGACACTGCTATTTTCCATCAATATAGGTATCACACCGCAAATATCCACTTATATTTACATTATCCTTAAGACTTACAATCCTGTAATCAGCCTAAGCCCAAGAAAAAAGGTAATGAAGAAAACCTAGAAGTTACTAGTGTTTTATCACTGCTAAGTAATGGCATTTCCTGGGCATCAGAGATGATTTATTTAATTAATATTCCCTGTCAATTGTGAAAAAGAATTTAAGGAAGCTTAGAAACACAAAAACAGAAGGGTTTCCAGCATGAATACAGATTGTGTCCAACTTCCCAGGCAAATGTGTCTAGATGGTACATGAGGGACATGTACCTGGGGGCTGAGGAGCCTCCTTGGCATGAACTTACCCTGAGAGTAGCATTAACATGGGAACCGGGGAGGCAGCTGAGTTCAGGAAAGCAAGGAGATGCACTGCGGCCACAAACTTTCACCCAAAGGCCGCGCTGCAGTCCAGTCTCGAGAGTGTGAAGAGAAAGCAAATGAAGCTGTACCTACACGGGTCCCGCGGGACAGTAACGCCGTCGCGGCTCCTTCAGGGTCCTCAGCACTGGGCATGGAACACCTGGCACAGCCAACAGTCCCCTCTGTTAGGGTACCTCTTAAAGGCATCCGCTGCAGCACCTTTATTTCTTTATTTAAAATTTATTAAATTCAAATACAAAAAAAAACCCAACAAAAACCAAAGGCTTTCAGGCCCAGTGTTTATTATATAAAATTATTTATATTAACAGCAGGAGGGTTTAAGACAAAAACACAAATGAAATAAAACATACAAGTCTGTGGCATAGAAACACTGACAACATGGCTACATCCTTCTATGATACAACCCACAAAACACAAACATTGTCAGATACAACCCCTTCTTCACATTTTAGATTTCATTCATTCAGTAATTATCTTCTGAGCACCTTCTATGTGCTCAGCCCTGCATTGACAGCTACTGGGGACACAGTAATGAACAAAATCAAGTCCCTGCTCTCACAGAGCCTCTGATTCTAGCGTGGGGACAGACAGACATCAAACAAGACAAATATACATTAGAACATGTTGACAGTCACAGGATTACCAGGGGAGGGCATGGAGAAGAGAGAAGTTTCTGTACATCCTTAACTCCTTAGGAGCAATTTGAGGCTGCTTTAAATGTCACAGTCTCTTTTGGTGGGAAAGATATAAACTTTAAATTATATTTCTAAAGTAACTTTTTTGGAGATTGCAAATTTCTGGTCAGACTCTTAAAGTTCATACTTCGGAGCAGCATTTCTAATTTTCTAATTAGAATGTATACTAGTGAGTACTTTATGGCCAGGCTAACGGAATAAGGCCCGCATCGTGTGTGTGTGTGCAGATGTACATATACAGACATATATATATGTATGTGGTTATAGGCCCATATCACCATTTACATATACATGCATAATAATGCATACATATTAATGTTAATATGTACTATACATTAATGTAACATTTCTGGCTCTAATGATACAAGTCTTTCACATATATTCTTAGATTTTATCTAGTCTAAGAACTACCAATACTGTAATTCTGAGGCAGTTTATTGGTGCCCCCAAGTGCATGGTGTTTCTACGTAAACTGTTGTTCAGAAAAAATACGTATCTCATGACTAAGCACATCCTGATTCAGCAACATGTAGAACACAATGAAGGATGGAATGGAACTGCCTTTTCATGTCTAAAAGACAAAGCAAAAATGAAGTCTGTTTTTCTTTGCTGCTGCTGCTCAGGTGCTTGTTCGCTGAAAACCACAGATGGTTTCAAACTTCAAGACTGGTATTCATATATCTTAGGGCCTAACAACTTCACTGGTGTCTTTTCATGTCAAGGACTGCATTTTCCTTTCTCCATATCCTACAAGGGTGTTTTTTCTTTTCAGGATGTCCAATCTGAAGCAGCTTTTCCCTGTGATGAACACAGGCCTGGAAGTGCTAGACAGGATCACTGAATTGGTCTGGTTGGAATGGCAGTGGTGGCAGGAGTCATGACATGTTCCCAATCTCCTCTTTATTTTATTTTCTTTTTTTTTTTTTTTTTTTTTTTTGTTTTTCTTTTTTGATGCTCAAGTATTTGCTGATCAATCTCCTCTTTAAAGAGGCAAACTTCCAAAGTGACAGGGCCTTTCCAAGTGTAAGGCCAACCCAGCAGATGTGCTTCACACCAAATGCCTCTGGTGACAAAGATGAAAAGGTGTCACTGCAGGCTCTCCAGCTGAGAGCTGTCTCAGAGATCCCCGGGCCTCCTTGGCGGCCCACTGTGCTGTGCTAGATGACTCAGGATGCTGGGGCGGCAGGTCCAGGAACACACATGGTGTGGTCTGCAGACCTGTGCATGTGCCCAGGATGTGCTGAGAGTCCCAGCCTCTCTAGGGCTGCTGCTTTCACCCCACCGGGATGACCCTGTGACCTCAGCAGAGACGACTACATAAACGAGTCTGGCCTCAGTGACAGACTCCCCAGCATGCTCTGTGACGTCATCTTCTTTTTCTTTCACTGGTCCTTGCTGCAACAATTGAAGGGAGAATTCTGCCCTACGGGCCATTGAATTCCCAGCCTTCCTGCCTATAAGGAATATCCAGGGAGAATCCCAAATATCAAGTAACTTAAAAATAAGTTATAGGTGCCTTTGGAAAGCATTATATAATTTTTAAAATTAGGTTTTTGTTCCTAGTTACATTTTCTCCCACTTTGCTATTCAATAATTTGTATTTCCTTGAGTGCATGCAGGCTGAGCAGAAGGGTACCTGAATACTGCTAGACAGTATAGAGAAGCTGGCCCAGTATTAACAATGACCAGATAAGCCATAAGAACAAACATACTTAGTCGGTTAATAATTAAAAGTTGATTATATACATTGTCCTTATTTTTTTCACCAAAGTCACTTCTTTCCTACTAAATTATTCTACTTCTTTCTGTCTCTTCTATCATTGGCATTTTCTGGTTCTGAGATTACTTGCATACACACTTTGAGTAACTTGTACATAACCCTCACATCTTAAAATAAAACAATGACTTCTCTAATCAGATAATTATCCATTTTCTATGACTCCAGTAATTGCAAATTCTAATCAGAAGCTATTGTTCTAATAAGTTATGAATCAGGAAGTCCTAATGTATAGTGAAAGATTACCTGGTTTTCATCCCAGACTACGTGAGGGACAGGTAACTGGTGTACAAGCCAATGTTCTGGGATAAACGGATAGAATTCTCCAAACTTTTTTATTTTGAGACAGAGTCTCACTTTGTTGCCCAGGCTAGAGTGAGTGCCGTGGTGTCAGCCTAGCTCACAGCAACCTCAAACTCCTGGGCTCAAGCAATCCTACTGCCTCAGCCTCCCGAGTAGCTGGGACAACAGGCATGCACCACCATGCCCGGCTAATTTTTTCTATATGTATTAGTTTGCCAATTAATTTCTTTCTATTTATAGTATAGACGGGGTCTCGCTCTTGCTCAGGCTGGTTTCGAACTCCTGACCTCGAGCAATCCGCCCGCCTCAGCCTCCCAGAGTGCTAGGATTATAGGCGTGAGCCACCACGCCCGGCCCCTCCAAACACTTGGTAAGCTACTCTTCAGAAAACCAACCGGACACTGTTGTGTCCAGGCTTGCCTACATATACTTCCTAAGGGTCTATAGCAGTATTAAAAGACCCAGTGTTCTAAATATCTCTTGAAAAGGAATGAAATGTAATACTGGGAATGAAGAACAAACAGCTGACACACGCAGTAGGCTGCAGCACCCGTGACGGTAAGTAACAGGAACAAAAATACCATCCCTCGCCACAGAGCACAGCTAGCACTGTGGTACTTGAGCTGTCATGAGAAAGATGAGTGGTCATCCTCTTGACCTGACTCATCTCATCAAAGCCAAGACTGACGACAGGTCTTTCAAGATTGGAAAAGAACGTAGGAAACTTTTCTCCCAACTCCTGTAATTTCTTTTTAAGTAGTTAAGTGATTGCCTGTATTGTTAAGATCTATAATCTGAAGATGTTTTTTCTTCCCCAACAATCAAATATCCTCCTTCATAATTACTGAGAAGAGCAAGGAGCTCAGGCTCTAGTGAACTCCTCAAAACAACCTAATTAATACTTTAGAGTTCATTTCCGGTCACACCATTTCCTGTTCTAGAAATTCTTCACTTGTTTTACTTCCACTATTTTCATCTTCATTAGAATAGTTTCCTGAATCTTCACTAGTTTGGGAACTGTATTTTTTGTGATCTTCATCAGTTTGATTAGTTTCTTCTACTGTAGTAATTGTGTTTACATTTTCAACTATAAAACATTTTTCAGTTTGTTCCTCAGAAGTTGAAAGCAGAAGATTCTTTAATGGCTGTTCAGAGAAATACTAATTTAAAACAGGAAAAGAATAGAAATGGGTTATTTAAAATAATAAAAATTTGTTTTCTAATTAAAATAGCTTTAGTTTCTATGTCCATTATTTAGAAAAACCTATCTTTTAGTATGCATATTCAAGGCAACTAAGAACATACCAAATGCTCTGTAATGTCTAGAATAAAATCATTAATAAGGTCATTCATATCTGAGCACTTTTTTTGGTGAGTCTATGCAAAGCCCCTAAGAAAGGTGCACTGTGCTCTCAGGAGTAGGGGTGGAAGAGCATTTGAGAAGACTAAAGGAGGACAGCACTGGGGATTATGAAAATTTTATTTGAAATAATGATACATTTTTACCCAAGCCACAGATAACTGGGAGTAGCATAAGTGAGAAATTATTTTTTTCATGTTTAACTAATAATAATTAGCTGCTAGAACTAGCTAGTTTTAAATAATAGCTATGAATATTAGAGTATATAAGAATGATATTTAAAAATTTAGAGGCATAAGAATAAAATAGTTAATATTTGCTGAGCACTTTTAGAGTGCAAAGATTTTTATAGTTTATCTCCTTTGTTCTACACAATGCATGGGGTAATATTATTATTTTTTTAATTCCTCCTAAGATTTCCACATCCTAATGGAGTAATATCATTGGCTCCATTTTATAGTCTAAGGGTAGGTGCTCAACTACCCTTAGGTGACTTGCTCAAGGTAAGCCAGAAACTCACCCCAGGTGGCATATCATTCCCCAGGCACAGATTCTGTGCTTTAGTCTTCAACATTTAGTGCTTTCAGGAAATATGCTAACTTTCATGAGTGCCACACAAAATCTGTGATGTTTCATAAAAAAAACCCTTCATGCTATTAGTGATTTCATCCACTGACAAAATATTTCAGTCTTTTGTATATACACAGATGCTCTTGGATTTATGACAGGGCTATGTCCCAGTGAATCCATAGTTTAAGTTGAAGATGTCATAGGCTGAAAATGCATTTAACACTCCAATAAACCCATCATAAAGTGAAAAATTGTAAGTCAAATCACTGTAAGTCAGGAACTGTCTGTATTGTGAAGAAATCACAAAGACTTTAAGTTGTAAAACAAATGCCACGGTGAGTCTATAGATTGCTAGAAAAATGAGATTAAGGACAAACCTTACCACTCCAAGCTATGTTATTACATTAAATGACAGTTTCTAAAGTTAATTTACTAAATCTTAGAAGAAAATATCCAAATTAGTCCCTATTTTTTTCTGGATATCAAGAAAACCTAGATATTCTTTTGAAATCAAACATATTCTGTTCATTCCCTAGCTGTTGACAAAGAAAAGTAACATACCTCATCTATACAGGAAGAAGGTTTAAGTGATGGAAAGAACACGTAATTGATGCCTTTCCAGAGGACTTTCACACCATAGATGACAACTGCGACAGCAATTAATGCAATGCAAATTCCAGCTATAAGCCAGCTCTTGGAAGTATTTCCTAAAACAACGTAAATCACGTTTAGCATGGTTTGACACACAAATACTTTTATAATGCTGACAGCTTGTGTGAAAGACCAGCTATACGAAAGGATATAAAATCTATTAAATAATACCCTTAAAAATATTTCTGGTAGCACTGAGTCCAAAACAACTGTGGGCAATGACATTTACATTTAATGATGGGCCTGAAAGATGCTCAGGGAAAAATACAATATTGACATATAGACCCAAACATGCAAGTATTCTTCAGCACTCTACTACTAGTGAAATTTAAAAAATACTCTATAACTAAGCCTCTACCAGTCAACACTAAAAACTGTAAAATGCAAAGTCAGACTAAATCATTACTGCATAAAAACAATTCATAGTTGAATGAATTGATTTCCACATAATTATGTTAAGGATTATATAAAAAATTAAAAACCAATAGTCTTATTAAATGTCAAAGAGCAATAAATTAAGGAAATTGTGTGGATATTGAATGAAATATAAAGCATTCAAAAAACACTGAATTAAGCATTAAAAATATTTTCTAAAACTGAAAGACTTAGCTTAAAGGTCTATATTTGATTCATGTAGTTCATGAAAAAAATATTCTATAAATACATATAGATAAATAAACATTTTTATATAAATATATACATATATAAACACATAAACATAAACAAACATAAATATATTTATATACATTTATATAAATAATATTATAAACAAATAAAAGCAAATATTCTATTTATCTTTTACAGTAAAGAGAAAATATTTTATAATTTTCAATGTATAGCATTGAATTATTTTTATTAAATCCAGTTACATTTTAAAAAGATGTAAAAGATTCTGACCTGGTTTTGTTTTCTCACACACAGTATCACTAAAAACACTGCTTCTATTCCATTTTCCATCCACAAGGTGTGCTCTGGCTTTGACACAATACACAGTCAGCGGTTGCAAGTTAGGAATAGTAAAATCAGTTTTTTTCTCTAGAAATTTTCTCTATAAAAATAATTAAATCATTGATAAAATTTAGTCATCTCACGAAATCAGATAGTGAATATTTATTTTCCCAATTCTTTTATATTCAATCTAAGATTATCCTCTTCCAAACAGTTGGTATGTGGTTAAGAAATATAAATTCATTTTAGAATTATAACCATTATAATCAAATCAGAAAGTTAAAAATGCCACTGCCCAAAAAGCATATGATACATTCTAAGGCAACTCTAAGTCTAAGTACTGCTGGTTTGGTTTAATTGTCATTCTTTAATACTATCTCTGATTCATGACAAAATGGTTAAGAGTAGGGGTTTTGGCCTCAAATTGCCTGCAAATTAAGAGGTATCACAGCCGTGTGTCCTTGCACAAGTTATTTGATTTCTCAGTGCCTTACTTCCTCATATGTAAAACGAGGACAATTACTCCTCCTATCTGCACCAGTCAGCTGTTGCTACAATCCTGTGTAACAAAACCATCTCAACACTCAGTGGCTTAAAACCTAATTCTGTTTCTCACTCCCAGGTTTACAGATTGGCTGGTGAACTCCCCCCATGAGGCAGTGGGTTCCGTTTAGTTAGGCCTGCTCTGTCAGTCTCATCCTCCTTGGACCAGGGACTACGTGCAACATGCTTTCCTCCCATCAAATGGGCACACAAGAGCCAGGCGACCCTGTGAGCACGCTGCGGCCCCTGCTCACAGCACATCACTCAGGCTCCACCACTGGAAGCCCTGCATCAGCGAGGCAGGGTGAAGACTCTATCCCGAGTAGCTTGCCAGGCAGCAATTTAACTGATCATACCATCTGACAGGCTTGTTTTGAAGAATGATTGAGACAATTCATGTAAAGTACTTAGCACAGTACCAGATATATAATACATATTCAATAAAAGAGTTGCTAGCAAAGGATAGGATGGCAACTAAAATTTATTAAATCTTTGCTATTTGTCCAGCAATGTGGTAGGTATTTTGATGTTTCCTCATTTTATTTTTTTGAGGCAGAGTCTCGCTCTGTCGCCTGGGCTAGAGTACCGTGGCATCATCATAGCTCACAGGGATGTTGCCCTCCCTACACCAGACTTGGCAGAGTCAGGGCGCTGCAGTCCTTGGAGAAAGCTGTGGTCAAGGCCTCAGGCCCGTGGCTGCCTGTACTCCTACACACACCTGTGTCCCTAGCCCCGGCACCTTCATTCCTGGGTCTCTCCATCTGTCACCCAGGCTAGAGTGCAGGTGCCTCATCACAGCTCACTGCAACCTCAAGCTCCTGGGTTCAAGCGATCTTCCTGCCTCAGCCTTCTGGATAGCTGGGACTATAGGCGAGCGCCACCACGCCCAGCTAATTTTTCTTTCTTTGTAGAGTTGGGGGGATCTCGCTCTTGCTTAGGCTGGTCTCAAACCCCCAAGCGATCCTCCCACCTCTAACTTCGAGAATGCAAGAATTACAGGTGTGAGCCACCGTGCCTGGCCTGTTTCCTCATTTTAAACCTATAAATATCCTTTTGAAAGAAAAATTTAGTTGCTGTGATTACCACCACTTTAGAGAAGAGGAAACAAAATCTCAAAAGAGGGAAAGCACCTTGCCTATGGTTACACACTTTGGTAGTGAGACACACATTCAGATCTGTCTGATCTAGGGACAAGAGAAAACTGACCATAATTCTCAACGGGCTAAAGTATGCAGAGGTAACAGTTGTTAGTTAAAACGAAAGCACCCAAGTCATTTGCATTTGCTTAGATTTCTAACAGAAAATGAAGTAAAGTTATAGAATGTACCCACCTGACTGCACAAGATTTTTAAACATTGATTCCTTGATTGTAATTCCACAGGGGAAAAGTGATTAGATTAGCTGATGCTGTATTATCTTTGCCAGTGGTTTCTGAATTTTAGCGTTCAGACCAGTGTTTTTCAACCCTATTTTCATTACTACTCCCCTAAAAAGGACTTTTTAGACAGATTTTTCTCTAATCCTCCCCCACCATGAAATTAAATACTAAGAAATAACACTTTGTTGGGCAATGTTGAACTGTGAAGGCATACTTTACTTCTGGGAGGCCACAAACCACTGTAATACCTAAGATACTTTTGCTCCATAAGAACAAATTTTTGTCCCCTTGGGCGTGCCAGTAGGGGACATTTGACGTCTGGAGACATTCTGGGCTGTCACAACTGGGAGGGAGTGCTACTGGCATCAAGTGGGTAGAGGTCAGAGATGGTGCTAAGCATCCTGCAACGCACGGGGCAGCCCCCACCACAAGGAATTATCCAGCCCAAATGTCAACAGTGTTGAGAAACCCTGCTTTAGACGAGTATTTGGGAATCATGTTAAAAACACAAATTTCTAAGGTCTACCCCCAGAGATTCTGGTTCAGGAGCAATGGGCTCAGCAATCTGTATTTTAAAAGCAAACTGGTACCGAGATGCAGGTCATCCATAACTCTATAGTGCAAACAGGGAAAACGCTAACACTATCCATATTATGAGTATCTGAGTTAATCACACAGTCTTGAAGTTCAAAATTACCCCAGAATTTTAAATTTAAGCTTTACTTACCCAAATTATAGTTATAACTCTAAGTCACAAAATTATATTACATAGTCTTTTTACCTCAGCATTTGAAGTGTTTTTCCAAAAAATAATTTCATAGCTGAGTGGGTAATACTGGCTCACACGCTTGTTTTCAGCCTCTCTGGGAGCGCCTATGTAGACGCGCAGTGAATCCCTGACGGATTTCATGTTAATGACTGGAGGAAGTACGGTAGCTGGAAAAAAACATGTAAAGACGTGATATTCAATTAGAAAAACAATTTTAAGAACTTGCACCAAACTGGAGAATTACAATCTCAAGTAAACACTATTGCCTTACTTTGCATGTCAGAGCTAAATTTTTTCTCTTTAGACCAAAGAGATGTGTTATTTCCATCAGATGCTTGTACACGGATATAGTAAACTCCTTCTGGGAGAACATTTTGAGCAAAGACACACTGTGTTGTTTCGACATTTTCACAGTCAAGTATTTGTTTCCATTCATGTGAATGTTTCCCAGGATTCTTCCTTACATAGGCGCTTTTAAGACAAAACAACATGTTAAAATTTTAAATATATTAATTCAATAAATATTTGTTAAGTATTTACAACAGACCAGACACTGTTGTTAGGGGCTAATAAGGTTACTGAAAAAAACAGCACCCATCCTCAGGAAACTCACAATACAGTAAACAATAGGTATCTAAAACAAAAGGAAACCAAAGATTGCTCCAGATTGTGACAAGTAGTAGGATGCTAGAGGTAGTTTTTTTTTTTTTTTTTGAGACAGAGTCTCACTTTGTTGCCCAGACTAGAGTGAGTGCCATGGCATCAGCCTAGCTCACAGCAACCTCAAACTCCTGGGCTCAAGCAATCCTCCTGCCTCAGCCTCCCAAGTAGCTGGGACTACAGGCATGCGCCACCATGCCTGGCTAATTTTTTCTCTATATATGTTAGTTTGCCAATTAATTTCTTTCTATTTTTAGTAGAGACGGGGTCTCGCTCTTGCTCAGGCTGGTTTTGAACTCTTGACCTCGAACAATCCGCCCACCTCGGCCTCCCAGAGTGCTAGGATTACAGGCGTGAGCCACCGAGCCCCACCTCTAGTTTCTTCTCATTCTTCCTTTCCTACCTTAGCTACACTTTCCTTTGGTTCCTCTATTCCTCTGCCCTCAACATGTATCTTTCTTTCCATCACTTTTCTCCTCACAACTCACTTTTCCTTCCACTTGATTTTCCCAATCTCTATTTATTCCCTACAATTTTCCAGTCAGTATAAACTCTACACAGTTCTCTCATTTATGTGGTATCTAGACTTCATTCATATTTGGCTAGTCTCTACTTAGCCACAAAGAAAACATTTCTCTCTAACTCTCTTTAATTCCCCAGTAAAGTAACCACTAAAAAAGTTGTCAAAACCACTAAAATAATAAAGAAAATGGGAAGGCTAACTTTTTGAAATGAATAAGGCAAAGTGAACGGAATGAGATCATTTCAAAGACTCATGGAAGAACTGAGTTCTGAAGAAAACTCAGGTTCAAGTCAAGTATTTCAGATTAAGGAAATAATATATGCAAACTAGAGTCACATCTTTTTTTTTTTTAAAAAAGAGCAAGAACCCTAGCTAGGAGTTCAAAATCAGCCTGAGCAAGAGTGAGACCCTGTCTCTACTAAAAATAGAAATAAATTAATTGACCAACTAAAAAAAATATATATATAAAAAACATTAGCCAGGTATGGTGGTCACGCCTGTAGTCCCAGCTACTTGGGAGGCTGAGGCAGTAGGATTGCTTGAGCCCAGGAGTTTGAGGTTGCTGTGTGCTAGGCTGATGCCATGGTACTCACTCTAACCTGGGCAACAAAGTGAGACTCTGTCTCAAAAAACAAACAAACAAAAAACAACAAACTGGGCAAAGGGAACTTTATGGAATAGAACTTACTGGAGCCACTGAACTTGAAAGGTCACGTTTGCATTTGCGTAATCCCATTTAAGAACATAGTTCTGATTTTTAACATCAACTTTTAAATTTTCAGGTGGAGGCAGTTTATTTTCAGCTGGAAGCCAAAGAATACATAAAAAAGCATGTTTTTACGTTAGTGAGATAGTATGTGTCAAGAATTCTTAACAATATGAGCAACAAGATAAAGGCTTAGGTTTTATCATTATAGGGTAATAGTTACATAAGTTACAGTGTATCGTCACACAATGTAGTATTATGCATCCATTTAAAAGAATGTGCTAGATCTGTACATGCTGATACAATATGATATCCTCAATAAATTGGCTTAAATAAGCAAGATATAAAATACATCTAGCAGGGTCTTATTTTTTAATTTAAAATACAAAACCAAAAAAACTAGAGGTCTGTATATACACTTATGTGAGTCCTGAAGTAAGTATGAAAGGATATACACAAACTGCTAGGCGATGCTTATCTCTCTGGTCAACAGAATTGGGGACAATAGGGCAGGAGGACTTTAAACCCTTCTGTATTGTTTGATTTAAAAAATATAATATACTGACTTTATAGTTAAAATAATAACCAAATCCCACCTCCTAACCGTGTCTTTAATTATTAGCAAGATGTCACTGACTAAATACATCCCAGGATGCTTTCGTATTTTAATATTTCACTTACAAAGCGATACTTTTTGGAACACTGACCAGTCTACTAGCAACTCCCCCTCCTCCCCACTCTTTTTCCTCCTTGCAGAACTCACAGTCTAGTTACCTCCCCCTTTTTGTGGATTCTGAACAAATCAAACAGTTTTTGTCATTATAAAATAGTTGGACTTTTAAGTAGAATTTTTATTACTACTTATTTGAGATAAAAATCCCAAATAACATTTTTTTGCTTTATGTAAGTGCTATTATCTTGCTTTTGTTTTAATATCTATTAGGTCATTAAATATGAAATGTGTGATTTCGAATCAAAAGTGTAGATTATATCTCAACAAGCAGCAGTACAATTAATCAAAGTATGCGCCTAAACCATCAACACAGTTTTGCCATCTTAACGGTCGCTTGTTTACGCCAGCAGCAAAGCAGCCTGGATAGCAAGTAGGATGAAATCGCCAAAGGTGTTTTCCACAGCTTGTTGAAATATTTTTCTTGGCAGGAAGTGGTCTAAGCCTGAAAGGAGTGGTAGTCAGGTAGTGCAAGGTCTGGTGAATATGGTGGATGACAGAGAGTTTCCAAGCCAGCTTCTGTAGTTTGGGCAGCGTTGTTTGAACAACATGTGGTTGAACGTTGTCATGCAAGAGGACTGGCCTGTCTCTATTGACCAATTTCAGCGGCTTAATCACAAGCGTCCTCATCATTTTGTCCAACTGGTCGCAGTACACATCTGCTGTAATCGATTGACCAGGTTTCATGCAGCTATAGTGGATAACCCCAACGCTGGACCACTCAACAGACACCATTAGCTTTTTTTGGATGAATATTCAGTTTGGGACTATGTTTCAGCACTTCATCTTTATCCAATCATTGTGCTGAATGCTTGCAATTGTCAAAAATAATCCATTTTTCATCACATATAACAATATGGTGTAGAAATGGTTTGCCTTTATGTTGTGATAGCAAAGAAAGGCAAACTTTGAGATGATTTCTCTTCTGATGCTCGTTTAATCATATGGAACACATCTATCCAGCTTCTTTACCTTGCCCATTTGTTTCAAATGGTCCAATATTGTGGAAATAGTAATGTCAAACCTTGCTGTTAATTCATGCATAGGCTGAGATGGAGTCACCTCTACTACAGCTTGCAGATCATTGTTATCTACCTTGCTCTCGGGACACCCCTGTGGCTCATTTTCAAGATTAAAATCACCAGAACTTCTCAAACCATCTATGTACTATGAGTTCATTAGCCGCATCCTTCCCAAACACTTCATTGATATTTCGAGGTGTCTGTGCTGCATTGGTTCCACGATCGAACTCATATTCGAAAATAACATGAACTTCTGACTTATCCGTGCTTTCACAAAAATAGCTCTAAAAAAATTTAAGCGATAATAACAAGCCAAAACGTGTTTGCAAGACTGAGGATGTACCTTCACAATAAAAATAAAACAAGAAGTGTCAAAGTGAAATATCAGTGGTATCAACTGTCAAACTTTGTACTTAAGGAAATCAGACATTTCATACTAATAACCTAATATTAAACCATCATATAAACTTCAGCACTATGAGACTAGTGCCAAAATTGACATATTGCCAATCTATTTATACAATATTGACTCTAAAGCAAAATGTCCTCCTTACCTGTGGTATTTATACAATACACCGGACTATAGACACCAACTTTCCTTGGCGTACGTAGTCTTGCCTTAACTTTTAAACAATAGGTAGTCTCTGGCGAGAGTTTATCAACTTTATATCTGAGATAACCAGTTTCAATCATTTCCTATAATAAAAAATTGAAGCCAGTTCTTTAAAAAACGATAAAGTCAAATTTTAGGATTAATTCACCTCATTTTTCTCTTACATCAAAGTAAAAATAAAAATGCTTACTTCTATACTTGAAGAAATTTTCCAGATAACTATGCTATATATAAAGCTTGGACCAGCCAAAGCCCACATGATACTATCTATTGTTCCAGGAGGAGAGATGTTTACTATTATTGCTTTATCTTCAGCTTCCAAATGTACACCTGGAGGACCAATTTGAGCTAGAAAAAATAAAAACAATTATATGTAACTTTGTTAATACAATGCCGAAACATTCATTCAACAAATAATTCTGAGCATTTAATATGCTCCTGTTGCTTCTGGGAGTCAAGTATGGAAAGCTGTAAGATTACCAGTGGAGTGACTACAGAATGAGAAGAGGAGAAGTTCAAGGATGGAACCCTGCAGCAATCTGACATTGAAAAGTCTGGCAGATGAGGAGGAGAAATTGGCATTGGAGTGACCAATAAGCAGGAGGAGAACCAGGAAAGAGCAGGGTCCTAGAGATTCAGTAACGGAAGTGTCTCAAGGAAATGGCAATGATGCCACATCTGTGCTACAGAAGGAGCGAGAAGACTGGGAATTCACCTGGCATCATGGAGGCTGCTGGTGACCTTGAGAAGAGTGGCTTTAGTACAGTGACGGAGGAATGAAGTTTGAATGGAAATGATTAAAGAGAAAATGGGGGAAAAAAGTACAAAAAAAGAGTATTGATAATTCTTTTTTGAGTTTTGGTAAACGGCAGTGGTTGTGAAACTTTTTGGTGTCAGGATCCCTTTATACTCTTCAATTATTGACACTTCCAAAGAGCTTTTGTTAATGAGTTATGTCTTTTTGATATTTAGCATATTAAACATTAAACTTACAAAATTTTAAACAATTTAATCCACCTTAATTAATCCATTAAAAATAACTATGATAAATCCAATACATGGTAACAAACATTTGTTATAAGACATATATTTTTCTAAAACAACAAAAATCTTAGTGAGAAGATTGATGCTGTTTTATATTTTTTTTTCCAAATCCTTTTAATGTCTGGATTAATAAAGAAGATGGATGGCTCTCCTATCTACCTCTGGATTAAATCAGTCACATCACCATATCACACATCAAATAGCCTCCTTTGAAAAACTCCACTCTGTATACGAGAGAGTGAATATAAAAAAGGCAAATAAATCTTAGAATTATTATGAAAATAGTCTTGTCTTTATGAACCCTCTGAAAGGGTCTTGGGGACTACTCTTTGAGAACCCCCATATAAAGAAAGCAGAAAAATGGGGCCATAGTAGGAGGAAGATGTGTTTAAGGGAAGTTTTGTGGGTTTTTTTTTAAGATGGAAGATTTCACACCATGAACGGGCTTGGAAAGTGAACAGTTCTGGTAACATTTACTAAAGAATATAGTCCAGGGCCAAGTGCGGTGGCTCACGCCTGTAATCCTAGCACTCTGGGAGGCCAAGGTGTGAGGATTGCTCAAGGTCAGGAGTTCGAGACCAGCCTGAGCAAGAGCGAGACCCTATCTCTACTAAAAATAGAAAGAAATTAACTGGCCAACTAAAAATACATAGAAAAAATTAGCCAGGCATGGTGGTGTATGTCTGTAGTCCCAGCTACTCGGGAGGCTGAGGCAGGATTGCTTAAGGCCAGGAGTTCAAGGTTGCTATGAGCTAGGCTGATACCATGGTATTCTAGCCAGGGTAACAGAGTGAGACTGTCTCAAAAAAAAAAAAAAAAAAAAAGAATATAATTCAGCTAGCAAATTTTTCTTACCTTTTTCAAATGGCATAAATGAGATAACCTCATACCACGAAGTGTTTCCTTGTTCTGCTCTTAAACGCAATTTGATTTCTTCATAAATATCCAACTTGGGTGAAGAAAAGCTGCATTTGGTACTAGTGATATACTGACACCCAGGCAATTTTATCCAATTATCCATCCCAGGTCTTTAAAGTAAAAAAGCAAATGAGTGAATGGGCAAATGCATAAATGCAAAAGAATGTCAAATATGTTTTCTATTTACTAGTATAAAGTGAATTTAAGCAGTTATTTCTTCTCCTAGAGTTAATGTTCTGTAAACATTTTAGTATATACCCCTCCAGTCTTTTAAATCATATAAACCAAGTTATTATTAATAAAATGGAGTAATCCAGCATATACTTAATTTTTAATACACTTTTATATATAATTTGTGGGTGGTTGCATTAGGATTTCAAGGAAGCAGAGAAACAAATGACCCATAAGCAAAAGTGGATTTAGTGTTGGCTTTGTTAAAAATAGTTGTGTGACTTCTGGCAAACTATTTTGTGTTTTTGGATCTTATATTCCTTATTGAAAATCTGGGAACTAGATTTGATGATTCAGATTTCAAAATTTTTGTCTATGTCAAGCCCATCAACCTTAAACATGGCAGAGAAGCTGTCCACTGAGAAGGCACTTTTGTCAAGCCTAATTCTTTAAGTTTATTTATTTATTTTTTATAATATTGTTGATGCCATTTTAAAGATGATTTAAGATATTAGAAACCAGAGACCATAATTATTAAAATAATTTTGTGCTAACCCAAATACAAGTCTACCTTATTTTTCAAAAAGGAAACATTTTTTTAACATTCCCAAAGATATACACTAGTACATGAAACATATCATTCCTGGCCAGTTTCCCTTTCCACTTTACCTATCTGAGGTCTAAGATTGGAGCTGGCATTAAAAATACCTTAATTTAAACAAGCAATCCTAAAAAACTCTTCTGTATCACAATTTATTTTTAAAAATCTAGAATCTCTTATTACAAACAGAAAACCTTATCAAAAATTTATTGAATCTTGTGATGGCTGTAAAAAAAAAAAAAAATTTAAAACTTAATATGGCTTCAACCCAAATTCACCCTTCTTTTTTTCCTGTTCCAGGAGATGCAGATGCATGTGCCATTACAATGGTTTTTGTACACAATGAAGCTACTGCAGTGGTAGCTATTTTTATATTTTCTTAAAAAAAACCCCAAAACTTAAAAAACTGTTTCACATTAGCTCAGAACAGAATAAAATTTGAAATATGAAGATGTAACCAATATACTATTCATTTCATAACTTCATGCCACTTTTGTCTTTCCTATTTACTAAGGTATTCTAAGCACCCAGAAAGAGTGTTTGGCATGAAAGATACTCAGTATTCGTTGAATCAAAGAATGCTACACATTACAAACATCATAATAAATTTTAGATACAACACTGACATTTTAGGCTGCATATGTTCTACAGGCTCGGGACCATGATAGTATATTTATTCATCTGTGTTTCACTTAATATCAGTGGTACATGTACTATGTTCTGAGAAATATTAAAAATACCTGTCTGTTGCTGATATTAATCCCACTTCAATTGATCACTTACTCTGTGTCACTCTCCTGAGAGCTTTATAAACAATTATTCAACACTCAGAACAACCTTCTGAGTTACTTTATTATTGGGGTATCCTATCCCACTTTGCTGGGGCAGTTCTCATTTAAGCCTGTTACTCCAGCTTATCTACAATTAAGTACCTCTTTTTACTCCCCAAAGTATCCTAGCTTGAATGATAAATTATATATAGTCATATTAGTTGTATCTCCATTCAATAAATACGAAAACTAAGACATGGAGAATAATTAGCAGAGGAAGGATTCCTGGTTCAAGGCTGTACTACGTTACAAACGCCACAAACTTGAGATCTGCCATATTTCTGCAAGGTAATTGTTTACAAGGCTAGCAGAACAAAATAAGGAACACACTGAAATACGTTTAATGCTAAAGTCAGAATGGAAAGGTAAAAAATTAGGATGAAGTGAAGAATTTAGTATAAGCAATAATGTGTGAAGGAACAAGAATGTGAGAGCACTGTGGATCTTTGTTCTTATTATAAGGGTAACTTTAAATAAGGGTATCTGAAATAACTCCTAAAACAGTTGTTGATAAGAAAATTTCAAACTAAGGCAAAGAACAAAACTGGTAACAAAACTCAAAATTCAATTTAAAGAAAATCTCTAGAGATAAAAATTTTAAATTATCAATTCTGAGAAAAGTGGTGTGTGTGTGTGTGTGTGTATACATGCACATATGCACACAATTACTGAAGGTGTGAGATTAATATCCCAGTTTTAATTAACTAGAGAACAATAGTGTCATTGACTATAATCAAAATGGTTGGGATCCTGGTTCCAGATGTCCTAACACCCTATTCCTTCCCTGCCTGATTTTTCGTGGACAGGAAAACACAGCAGGTAAGGCCTCACCACCCTACTAGGAGGCAAAGTAGTATACTTCCTGGGCTGTGTTCTCTTCTATATTCATCTGGAATGCCCCTCTGCCTATCTTCTTGAACTATTAACTATAAAGTTAGTACTAAGGAGAAGGCACTGAAACTCTAGAAACATTGAGTCTTTGGAAATGCAGGGTCCAATATATTGATGTTTATAAAATGTATCCAAAATTAAAATGTTTCCTATGATGGAGATAACAGGAAAGCCCGAGCACAGGAGGCCTGGTGGCCTATTCCAAGACCTTGGATAGGGCTTTTGGGATATTCTCCCATATTTTTAAGTTATGCCATGGCTGACGTGGTGGCTCATGTCTATAATCTTAGCACTTTGGGAGGCTGAGACAGGGAGGATCACTTGAGGCAAGGAGTTGGAGACCAGCCTGAACAATATAATGAGATCTCGTTTCTACAAAAGAATAGGAAAATTAGCTGGATGTAGTGGTGCATGCCTGTGGTCCTAGCTACTTGGGAGGCTAAGACAGGTGGATCTCTTGAGCCAGGAGTTTGAGGCTGCAGTAAGCTACAATGATACCACTGCACTCTGGCTTAGGCAACAGAGTAAGACCCTGTCTCCAAAAAAAAAAAAACCCCACAAGATATGCTCTAGTTTAGACCTCAATTCCCAATTTCTATTTAATGAAGCTGGACCATCCAGAGCAGAAAAGTATGGCTGTGGATTAGAGCTGTCTATCACCCTCATCCCCAAATTGCTTTTGCTTCAACGCCCAAAGATGAAATTTCTAAAAAATAGAAAAACCAAAGACTTCCCAAATCTGAAAAGAATTATGGTGTTAAAATTATGAAAATCATTCAGGTCATTCTGGAAATCACTAAGCAGAGTCACATACCTTTGATAATCTGCTGAAAAAGTCATGTTCTCAATAGACTCACCATTCCCGTTCCACCTTAGGATAAAATTGTCATCTATGATGTTGATCTCTACATTTCGAGAAGAGTTTAGATTTTTTCCACCTATAAAGGCAACAAAAAATTATAATTATATAAACACTATATAGATATTTTAAAAAATGTTATTCTTCCCCTTATGTCCCTGATTAAAGAATGAATATATTCAAATATAATGAAAAGCGTATTTTAAAATCTAAAAAACCTAATGATTGCTTTCACCACAGGGAGGCTGCTAACTATGTTTCTGTACCTGAGAGAGCTGGAAAAAGGGTTGAGTTCTTTCATCTATAAAAAGAGTTGTCTTTTATCTGAAAACCAAACTGTCTCTCTGTATAAAAATAGAATTTTTCTTTAGTCTCAGAAGTGATACTGGTGTAAGGGATATGAGGTTCAACAGTTTAACAGCCCCAATTTGGTTTCACACTCTACATTCAGAGACAGAAAGAGATGCTCTTGACTTACAAGGTGTTACATACCAAAAAACCTATCATAAGAAAAAAATCACAAATCAAAAATGCATTTAATACCCCAATAAATCCACTGTAAAGTCAAAAACTGTTAAGTCAGACCATCATAAACTGGAGACCAGAATCTATACTTTATATACTCCGAGAACTGAACAGATATAATTTCAAAGGTGACAGCTATTTACAGGAATGGAATATTCACATAACAAAATTGAGAGACGGATGTATAAATATTTGTGTCAGCCAAACCCTTCAGGAACCTAAAAAGATCTTGACTGCCAAACATACTAAGTCTGTACCCTTCTGTTTATTTTTAAGGACTTCCGTTTATGTACCTACCTTATTTCTTACTACGACTACTAACACAAATCATCTACCAGTTAAATTACTTCCCTTCTTATTTTTCTCTTCTGGCCCCTCCAACCTGCAATGCACTCTTCTTCTTCTCTGACTACCCAAATCCTCCCAAGATACAAGTCAAGTTTGACCCCTTATGGAAAACCTTCCCTGAATATTGCAGCTCATGTTGATCCTGTTTTCTTACACTCTGTACCATGTAATCTGTACCACTCAATTTCACACTTAAGTAGATGTACTTAGCTCTCAAATACTGAATGCAAGATGTTTTTCATTTTTTATGCGTTTTGTGGTAAAATATACAAAACACAAAATTTACCATCTTAACCATTTTTAAGCATACAGTTCAGTGGTATTAAATACATTAACAATGTTGTGCAACCATTACCGCCATCTATCTTCATAACTCTTTTTATCTTGTCAAACTGAAACGCTATACTCATTAAACAATAACTCCCATCCCTTCCTTCCTCCCTCTAGCCCTGGGCAACCACTATTCTACAGGGGGTCCCAAAGGTCGCCATACAAAGGGAAAATGGGAAATCGTAGCTAAACGTACCATGACTTACAAACTATTCATTACAAAATTTTTCCTTTGTATGGAGACTTTTGGCACACCCCATACTTTCTATTTGTATGATTTTCACTGTATTAACTACTTCAAAAAAGCGGAAGCATACAGTCTTCTTGGGACTGGCTTACTTTACTTAGCATAATTTCTCACAGTTCATCTATGTTGTAGCAAATGTCAGAATTTCCTTCCTTTTCAAGGATGAATAATATTCCATTGCATGTATATACCAGATTTTTCTCATTCATTAGTTCATGGACATGTGGGTTGCTTCTGTATTTTAGCTATTGTGAATAAAGTTGCTATGAACATGGATGTCCAAATATCTCTTTGAGACTCCATTTTCAATTCTTTTGGGTATAAACCCAGAAGTGGAATTGCTGGATCATATGGTAATTCTGTTTAATATTCTGAGGAACCACTACACCACTTTCCACATCAGCTATACTCTTTTACATTTCTACCAACAATTCATAAGGGTTCCAATTTCTCCACATCCTCACCAACACTTATTTTTTTCTGATAGTAGCCATTCTAATGGGAGTGAGGTGGTATCACATTATACTTTTTTTTTTCTTCTGGAGACAGAGTCTCACTCTTGTTGCCCTGGCTAGAGTGCTGTGACGTCAGCCTAGCTCACAGCAACCTCAAACTCCTGGGCTCAAGCGATCCTCCTGCCTCAGCCTCCTGAGTAGCTGGGACTCCAGGCATGTGGCACCATGCCTGGCTAATTTTTTCTATATATTTTTAGTTGGCCAATTAATTTATTTCTGTTTTTAGTAGAGACGGGGTCTCGCTGTTGCTCAGGCTGGTCTTGAACTCCTGAGTTCAAAGTTCAAACCATCCGCCCACCTCGGTCTCCCAGAGTGCTAGGATTACAGGCATGAGCCACCATGCCCGGCCACATTATACTTTTAATTTGCATTTCTCTAATGATTAGCGATGTTGAGCATGTTTTCATGCACTTTCTAGTCATTTGTGTATATTCTTTGGAAAAATGTCTATTCAAATCCTTTGCCCACTTTTGAATCAGGATTTTTTAAAATTGTTGATATCCTCTATTTCCTTCTCTTCTGTTTAGTTGTTCTTTTCATTTTTGAGAGGGGTCACTGAAGTCTCCAACTGTTATTACAGAACTATTTTTCCCTTTAATTTTGTTAGTTTTAGCTTTATATGTTTTGATAATTTGCCATGGGGAGCATAAATGTTTATAACTGTTGTATCTTCTTGCTGTATCGAACTTTCCCTTAATATATAACATCCTTCTGTGTTTCTTATAACCTTTTTGATGTAAAGCCTATTTTGTCTGATATTAGTATAGACACCCCTGCTACCATATCATTACTATTTGCATGGAATATCTTCTTCTATCCTTTCACTTTCAATCTGTGTCTCTGGATTGAAAGTGAATTTCTTGTAGAGAGAATATAGTTGGACCATGTGTTTTTACCTATCTTGCTAATCTGTTTCTTCATTGGAGTTTAATCCACTTAAAGTAATTGCTGATAATGAGAGACTTACTTCTGTCATTTTGCTACTTTCTCTATATACCTTAAAGCTTTTTTATCCCTCATTTGCTGCATTACTATCTTCTTTTGTGTTCAGTTGATTTTTTGTAGTAAAATGTTTGAATTTCTTTCTCATTTCCTCTGTGTATATTCTATAGCTGTTTTCTTTGTGGTTGCCATGGGTATTACATTCAACACCCTAAAGTTTTTAACACTCTAACTTGAATTTACACCAGCTTAACTTCAACAATATTCAAAAACTCTGCTCTTTTATAGCTGTATCCACTCTTTTCAGGTGATGTCCCAGAATTGTATCTTTATATATTGTATGCCCTGAAACATAATTAAATGAATTAGTCTCTTAAATCACGGAGAAAAATGTGGAATTATAAGCCAATGTTTCATGGAAACAACCCAAGTGCCTATTAATTCATGAGTGGATTAATAAAATGTGGTATATGTGTACCATGGAGTACTACTCAGCTTTAAGAAACAATGGTGATATAGCACCTCTTGTATTTTCCTGGATAGAGCTGGAACCCATTCTACTGAGTGAAATATCTCAAGAATGGAAAAACAAGTACCACATGTACTCACCAGCAAATTGGTATTAACAGATCAACACCTAAGTGGACATATAGGAATAACATTTATCGGGTGTCTGGCGGGTGGGAGGGGGGAGGAGGGTATGCGTATATATAAACATAACGAGTAAGAGGTGCAATGTTTGGGGGACGGTCACACTTGAAGCTCTGACTCGAGGGGGCATGGGCAATATATGTAACCTTAACACTTGTACCCCCATAATACGCTAAAATAAAAATAAAATTTAAAAAAAAAAAGTGGATCTCATGAAGATAGAGTGGATTGATGGTTTCCAGAGGCTGGGGGAGGGGTGTGGGCAATGAAGAGAGGTTGTTTAGTGGGTATATAAATACTGTTATACAGAAGGTATAATATCTAATGTTTGACAGTTGAGTAGGGTGACTATAGTTAATAATCTATTGTATATTTCAAAATAGAAGAATTTGTTTCTAGCATTAAAAAAAGATAAATATCTGAGGTGATGGATAACCCAATTACCTTGATTTGATCGTTACACATTATATGAATGTATCAAAATATCACAAGTACCCCCAAAATATGTACAACTGTTATGTATCAATAAATAAATGCTTAAAATATTAAAAAGAAATGAGCTCTCAAGCCACAAAAAGACATAAATGTAAAAAAAAGCCAATGTTTCAATACTAGCTTTTAAACTAATAATTATTATTTTTAAACGTATTATTCTCTTAAAGCATGTAGAACACAAAAAAGTGGAGTTACAAACTGTTGTTACAATGATACTCGTTTTTATAATTGCCCATGTATTTATCTGTATTGAAAATTTTATTTCTTCATATGGCTTTGAATTATTGTCTAGTGTCCTTTCACTTCACCTTTCAGAACCCCCTTAAGCAGTTCTTGCAAGGTAGGTCTAGTGGTAATGAACTTCCTCAACTTTTGTTTAAATGGGAACATCTTAACTTCTCTTCAGTTTTGGAGGATAGTTCTGCTGGATATAAGATTTTTGGTTGACAGTTATTTTTTCTTTTAGCACTTTGAATATATCAACTCACTGTCTTTTGGTCTCCAAGTTGCAGATGAGAAAACTGCTGATCATCTTATTGAGGATCTCTTCTATGTGATGAGTCACTTCTCTGTCCTTGGCTTTCAAAAGTTTGATTATAATATGTCTTGGTGTGATTGTTTCTGAGCTCATTTTACTTGGAGTTTGTTGATCTGTCCAATGCTGAAAGTGAGGCACTGAAGTCCCAACTATTAATGTATTGGAGTCTATCTCTCTCTTTAGATATCATAATACTTGCTTTATATATATGGGTGCTCCAGTGTTGGGCGCATATATATATTTAGAATTGTCATATCTTCTTGCTGAATTGATTCCTTAATCATTATATAATAACCTTCTTTGGCTTTTTTTTTTTTTACAGTTTTTAACTTAAAGTTTGTTTTTTCTGACAGTACTTTGAACATGTCATCACATTGTCTTCTAACCTATAAGGTTTCTGTGGAGAAATCCGCTGTTAGGATAATGTGGATTCCTTATATGTGACTTCATACTTTTTTCTTGCTGTTTTTAGAATTCTTTGACTTTTG